TACCACTGAGCTAAACCTCCAGTTCCTACACATTCTATCATGATTCTCAAGCACTTTAAGGCCCTTAAATTACTCTGTAACCTTTGACTAGTTTTCCTACTTTCAGAAATAACAGGATATACCTGAGAAGGCTGCAAAAGCCTCTCTTCTTAAAGCCAAGGTCTCAGGGACTGGGCATATCACTCAGGGACAGAGCACTTGCCTAGCATTCATAAGGCCTCAGATTCGATCCACAGTGTCAAAAATAAAAGACAAATAACAATGTCAGAGATGAGCGATATCAGCCTCTACTAGCTCTAGAGCCACATGTTGAGGTTCAAATGTAGGCTACTTCCTGATTAATCTTGAGGAAATTGCTCCTCCTTTCTGTGTCTTCGTCTCCCTATCTGCAAAACTGGAGAATATAACAGTACATACTTCAGAGGGTTGTGATGGGGATTTCAGGAGTTAACGTTTGTACAGCATTTAAATGACACTTGGCCTTTTTAGTCACTGCTGCTTTAGAGTCAGGTTTTCTCCTTGTCCCTGTGGCAATGATCCTGGGCAAGATTTGTTCACTTTCTCTATAATCATAGCATGGCTGACCAGGAGTCCTTATGAGCATTTAGACTTACTGGGCTAGGGGGGCGCAGTTTTTGTTTTCTTTATGCACTTGAAACAGGCCTGGGTTCTTTCATTTGTATCCATGGGTTAATTTCTCCTTTTAGACTTCAGTGATTGGGGAAGGCAAAGGCACAGTTTCTAGAGCCTTGTGCTGGTTATGCTCTTTGAGAATAGAATCTATGACACATCTTGCCCATTGGCATTTCTCTGGCATCTGTACTTCATTCCATTTCACTCTGTTTACCAGTTTCTGTAGTGTAGTCACTATCATGTTTACCTAACACCCCATCTCACTGGCTATGAATGTGTTCTAGGCCCTACAATTGTTTCAGAGGATCCCTAAGAATCACTGAAACAAAGGCTCTTGGCCTCAAGGACCTTCAAGCTCATATTGTTTTGTTAGTTCTCCAATTCCTTTGCAGCTACAAGAACCAATCTAAGGATTTTTTGCCTTTTTCATGGTAGTACCCTGGCATCCATGTATATAGTCAGATGAGTTTACTAAAGTAGGCAATGTTTATTACGTCATGATACCTCAGTGTATCTGCAGTTAATAAATACCTCTTGAGCTGGAGATATAGCTCAGTAATAGAGCCCATGCTTAGCATGCAAGAGGCCCCAGGTTCAATTCGCAGCATCAAAACCAGAACCAAACCAAAAAAAAAACCCAAAAATACACATGTTGAGTATATCCTAAGACCATTTTTGTTTTGTTTTTGAGTTTTTTTAAAAAATTTTTAGATGTTGATGGACCTTTATTTTATTGATTTATTCTTTTTTAAATTTTTTTATTAGTTACACATGACAGTACAATGATCTTGACAATTCATACATTTGTGATTTATTCTTATGTGGTACTGAGATTCAAACCCAGTGCCTCACACATGCTAGGCAAGTGCTGTACCACTGAGCCACAACCCCAGTCCCAAGACCATTGTTTTTAATGTCTCTTTCCCTTTCCCTTTCCACAAATAGAAATAGTTTTGAAAATGTGTGATGCGATATTTCTTTAAAATCTTGCCCACTGTTTAAGGAACATTGGCCCAACTTTAGGAGAAAAGCATTATTCTCAGCACTGGAGAAAATGCCAAGAACGAAGCCGATGAGTCCTCTGCTCTTATAAAATGTGCATTTGCAGGGGAGGGAACAGTCAATAAACAGGTGATATTTGTGCTGAGGGGTATAGAGAAAATGGAGGAGGATCAGACAGGAGAGAGCAACAGTAGGGTGGTACGCTAGAGAATAATATTGGGAAGGTGGCAGCCTGGGACTATTTGAAACTGAACACATGGGAACATGCTTTTTGAAACAGTGATTTTGACACCTCAATTGGGGAAAACCAGCACTTGAGTTAGGAGAAGGCTATAGAACCAACCGTATGTGCGAAGTCCGTTGGGCAGAAAAGGAGCATAATATTCAAGCCAGAGGAAAGCACTCCCGGGTGAGTGGACTCAGGAGGACAGTGGTACTGCACACAACTGGGGATGTGGACAGCTGTCAGAACAGGCAATGTCTTGGGGGCTGTTGTAAGGAGTTTTCATTTGGTTATGAAAACATGTCTAGCACATTAGTACCTTCAAATGCCGGCTAGACTCTGCACAAGATGACTTCTTAACTTTCCTATGGCAGATACCTCCTCCAACTTTAACCATTTGTTACTCCAGAATTTTCCAACCATTTTAAAGTAAAGCAGCAAAAGTAGAGGAAGGAAGCAAGTTTTAAAGAAACTGCCAAAGCTAAATGGAAAGGGAAAAAAATAAATCTTTAGTTCCGGTGCTCCTATTTTTAAAAGTGTGGTGGCTCTCATCTGGTCTGTTACAGAGACAAAGATTTGTCAGTGAACAGCAAATTAAGTTCCTCTGAGTAGTGATTTTAATTGTTTTAACATGAATTATTGGTATCAGAAAAAAGTTTATATGTTGGGGATGCATTCAAACTCAGACAAAACTTATCAATTCTTTCATATAAATAGCATAGCTTTTCCTTGTCCAATGATCTGAACTTATGTGGAAATAAAGCTAGGGAAACTAATTTTTCTGTTATGTGCTAAAAAATCAGAGCCCAGTATTAAGCAAAGCCTGGGGAAAGGGGTAGCATAAATTCCTTAAATGAACTAGATGTTAAATGAGACTTCAGATAACTGTTCTGTATAATCTGTTAGCTTAGACATTAAATGTTATTGCCTCATTTTAAGAGAGTATCAATTTCTTCTAAAATGTGGTCCAAACTGTTATTTTAAATAGCTGATGGAAGAGTATTTGGAAAATTAATGCCATTTAGTTTAAGGTCTTCCCTTTTATTGTTTGTTTTAATTTATCTAAAGACTCCGCTGTGGTTTTTATAGCAGTCAAAAAGAAAAGAATACAAAAAAAACCTTCTATAGGAAGATCTCACGAGAATAATGACCTTCCCCACCCAGTGAAGAGGAAGAAGAGAACCCCTTTGATATAGTAATAAGAACTTTCTTTCACGCAAATTTAATTAAATGTCAAAATGTTAATAAACCATTTGTCGGTGCACTTTTTAATTACTTTGAGAGTAATACACTCCCCCAAGTTCATTTTCCAGATGAGAAAGTTGAGAATCATGATTTACAAAATAATCTCTAGAACAATGCTCTTTACAGTCTCTAGCTAGCAAGAAATCATCTTGCCATTTCCTCTTATAAAACTAATGTTAATCCTTCCAAGTCTTTGAAGCCAGGAAGTACCAATCTCCCCAAAATTCCAGAATAAAATCATTTTCTAACAGTTCCTCTCAGAATGGGCTCCAAATTGCAAAACTTAAAAAAAAATACAGCATACATTGCTTCTCTGTATTTATATCTTCTGTATTTACATCAGAAGTGAATTTTAATTTAAGAAGCACAGCAACTTGTATTTTAAGAACAAATTAGCCTCATTAGCTAGTACAAAATGCTGCTCCTCCAGCTATGGTTCTGAGATTTTTTTTTTTAAATTACATTTAACTTTCCTTTGCTACCAGAAGTCAACTGTCAGATTAAATGACAGCCACCAGCCACCCACAGAGATACTATGGCAGATCAATTGTTGCATTTGGTCACTGCCTTTGCAGATATCAGAGGCACCAAAAAGGAAGGAAAGCCCAAGATACCCGAAACAAGCATTTGTATAGGAAATATGCTAAAACCAAATATTAAAAAATATGGCCACTTCTGAGAGGAACTTTGTAGAGAAAAAGGCATCCAGGAAGATTTCTGAAGTTTTGATAGATGGCAGTTCCATTTAATTTTTCAGTGTTGAAGGGTCACGGTCAGTGCAAACCTAATAGCTTTGGAATGAAAAGTATGGTAACAATGTAAACTCATATTTTTCAGCCATGACCTTCCTTTTTCCTTTCACTCCCCTCAAGAGATACTTTAATCATCTCCTGGTTTTGTTCTCAAGAAGTTTTCTTTCTTATAAATTTTGGTCCTCCAATTTAAACTCCAGTACATGCTTTTATTGTAAATTATACTTTAAGAATTCTTGGGTAGTATAATAGGCAAAAAAAAAAAAAATCACGACAATACTCTTAAATTTAAGTGCTCCCGTTCTTGTTACTCTTTTTTTTTTTTTTTTGCCAAATCACACAGTCCATTTTTCTCATAAATCAGCCCATATACACTAATCAGTTTTGTTGCTTTATGCTGATTTCCCTCTAGCTCCTCTATATCTGTCTGCTCCCAAGATACACAGACCTGAACACAATATTCCAGGTGTGTTTTTGCCAAATTCACTAAATTACTCTACCCCTCTCCCATGATGTGATGTCTCCACACTTACAGCCCCAAATCACATTAGCTTCCATGGCATATTGCAAACACATCTAATTTGTTGTCCCCTCTCCCCCTGGTTTTTCTGGCATTACTATTTTCTGAATTTTCCCTTCTTGCTGCTAACTTTTGCAGCTCCCTCCCCACCCCTCCCCAGAGCACTGGAGTTATACCTGTCTGATTTAATTCTCATATCATTTGATTCTTTCCATATTTTTAACCTCAGAAAACCTGTACAGCACTTCTCTTTATTCACTGGTGTGTTTCCAGAGCTTCCTGATTTAATTTCATCTGAAAATCTAATTAACATGCTGTTTACTACATTTTTTTCCAGGTTACAAATGGACATGCTCAGGGAAAAATATAACACTAACAGGGATTCCCGGGGCCCTTCTCAGCGCCTGTCCTACTAGGATAGCCTCAGAAAGTGCAATTAACTTTCTCCAGCTCAGGGGATGGCTGTTTCAGCCACTTTACACCATTTTGATGGACAGCTGTGTCTCTCCCCTAATCAGCCAATTTGGAGATAGAACAATTACAAAAGACAGCAATTATTGAATGCAGTCTGTCATTGTAAAGATGGAGATTGAGAAGAGGAAGAGGAAAGAAGAAATGGCTCAAATTTAGAGTCAGATGATAAAAAGGAAATCAACTTTATTGAGGGAGTGGACCCAAAGAGAACGGGTAATAAAAAGCAAAGAGAGTTCTAGATTCAAGGAGGTTAAAATGCAAGCTAGCTTCTCAATGTTCAATTCATCAAAGATTGTTTTTGTAAATTTTGTTATTCTTAGATTCCCGAGTTTCTTCAAATCACACTCTGATAGCTAAACATTTAAGATTTTTTTCCTTATAGCTCTGATTTTGTTGTTGTCATCATAATTAAAATACAATTCACTTTGGTTTTTGTTTTGTTCTGCTTTGTTTTTCCCAGGACCTCAGGCATGATAGGAGAGCTCTACCACTGAGCCACACCTCCAGCTCCACTTTGTTTTTTAAAGTGAATGAAATGACTGGAAAACCTTTTTTAATAATGATTATGAACCATAGAACTTTGAAGAGTTTTTTTGTTTGTTTGTTTGTTTTCTAATCTGTTTATTTTGAGAGGGCTTAGTAATTCCAAGTTTTTAATTTTCCCCCATATCCACTTTCGCAATTGTTTCAAAAGCACTTTATACTTTCTCCATATCCAGAAAAAAGGCCCCCAAATCAGATACTAATCAATGAGAAAATATTATTTCCCAGTTTTAACAGTCATGGTTTTTACAAGATTAGGAAAATCTCTTAAGAGAAACAATGCATGTCTCTACTTACATATATTTAACCACAATGATTTCTAATTAAATGTATTTTTTTATATATTTCAGGAGAACATGAAAGACAGTATCAGGTTTTGTTTTTTTTTTTTTAATCAAATCTGTCAGAAGTCATGTTAAAAATTTGTGGAGCTTAATGTAGAAATCCTTTCCAACATAGGTTGTACAAACATTAGGAAGGAAAAAAAAACTACAATAAAAATATGGCTTCCAGGGAAAACTTTCATATTTTGGTGGGAGAGAATCACATTAGAGAATCTTATGAATAGTTTACAAAATTGGTATACCTTGCCTCTCTCCAACTGTTTTTCTGTTCTCATAAATGAAACACAGAAAAGGAGAAGACGACATAAAATTCCAGCTTTCCTGTCAGTAAAATAAGGGGGTGGGGGAGCGTTTAAAGATGGAGATATCTTAGATAAGAATAATAAAGGCCAACAAATGTCCTCTTTCAGATAAATGGGAAATAGACTGTGGAAATCTTCTGACACCAAAGCTTCCTTTAACCCTGAAGCAGGTGGTATATTCTCAAACTGGAATCTTCCACAGTGCCTTGGACAGGCCCAGCTTCAGAGCATCTGTAGGAAAAAGTAAAGGTAAATGTTTTCTCTAGAACAAAATGAAGAAAGTCCAAATTGGATTGAGCATTGACCCTGATAACTGGATTTGTTTTTTATTGGTTATATGACCTTGCATAAGGTATTTGATTTCTCCCTCTCTGATCTCTCATCTGTTCAAATGTCTTTTCCCATCAGGTTATAATAATGATCAAATGAAATGATAAAATGAAACCTCAATCTTTGTAAAAAAATAAGACATTTTTCCTAATTAAGATTTTTTTTAAATTTGAAATGTTTTATTGTTACTGAGATTGTCTATAGTTATTATCAATCATCACTGGAAAACATTCAATTTTGTGTTCCTTAATCCTAGTCCAGTGATATTACACCTTCATTTTCAAAGAAACACTAAGAATTTCAAATATTAAAATATTTTAAATAGCTATTAAACAATTGCATAAACTTTTCATTTTATTTATTCAGCCATTATCTATTTCAAATAATCATTTTAGTATATATTTTTCATAGGATTTCAAACTTGAATGTTTATTTTGGAGTTATTCTATCATTTAACCACTCCTAAATATTTTGCTATATTTTCATGTATTCTGTTTTTTTTATTTGTTCTAATTAGTTATACATGATAGTAGAATACACTTATGCACTTTGATATACCATACATAAATGGAGTATAATTTCTCATTTTTCTGATAGTAATTGTTGCAGAATCACATTGGTCATGTAGTCATATGTACATATGGTAATAATGTCTGTTTCATTCTACTATCCTTCCTATCTCCACACCCTCTCCTCCCTTCACTCCCCTCTATCTAATCTAAAGTAACTCTATTCCCTCGTTACTGTGCATTAGCATCTGCATGTCATGTATTCTATTTCTTTACCAAGGATTTGAAGTAAAAATCAAGTCAATGGAACAACTATCATATTGAAATGATTATATCAATGAATAGTTGAACTAATTTTTTTTGCAAATATAGCTGAAATTAACCAGACTACAAATATTCACTCTGAGTCCTGCAATTGCTAACTGATCTTCAGTACTCTAATCTATTATTCATCAGTTAACCTGCAAATGGCCTGTGCATTTGGACACACAAAGCATGTTATTATTTAGACTTAGTCTCCAAGGATATATAGATAAGAACAGTGTATGTAAAACACATTATAAGAAACTCCAGGGGTGGGTGTGTGTGTCCTGAAAGTTAATTTTTCCATTGGCTGTTTGCTAATAAAGTGAATATCAAAGAATATTTGTTTATAATGAAAACAAATTAGTTAAATTCATTTAGCCAAGAGGATACCTAAAACAGTAATCTATGTATATCTCAGTAAAAAGATATTGAGATAAAATTAGCAATATCCATATATGGAAAGAAGCTTGAGAATAGATGAATATAGTTTTTAAGATCAAGAATATTTTCCATTTGAACTCACTGAAAATTTTCAATGTCAATAAAAATGGAGTAATCAAATAGTTTGTGTCCCATAAAGTGATTCAATAGGAAGTATACAGCACCAACTACACAGTGTTCTTATCTAAAAACTGGACCTGAAACTAATCAAGTCTAGAGATCTAGATAAGAATTTACAGGAGATTCAGTGGACAGAGGACCAAGCTATAAATATCTTTATAAGCAAACTGTTGGCCAATAGAATGTAAGATAGTGTTGGACAAATGACCTGGAATATCTAATCAATAAAATGAAAAAAGTCAATTAATAAAACTAAGAAGCATAATCAGAACTTTGTTTGGGTTCTGATTTGAACAAACCAACTATAAAAACCACCTCTGAGATAAGCAGGAGACCCCAGAGATGGATTAGGAATGAGTTCATGTTGAAGGAACACTCGACTGCTATTTTGGGTTATTGTAGTTTTGAAAAGTTGCCCTTGTTGGTTAAGAATGATATATGCATTGTAGTATTTCAGGGTGAAATGACATTTTGAATCTGCTTTAAATACTCTAGAAAAGGAGGAGAAAGTTGGGGAAAAGATGAAACAAAATTAGCAAAATGTAAGTAATTGTTAAACGAGGTAATGAGTACCTGAGTCAACACCTTATCTACTTCTTTTATGTTTTATATTTTTTTCAAACTGAAACATTTTTAAAAGAGTAGATGTATTTCACACTGTATTTGTATCAGCACAATAGTTTTGGAGAATAGATAGTAGCTAAAATCTTGATTTGATTGCAAGTTCTAAATCATAGATCACCAATAATAAACTTAAGTATAAATTACAATGAAACAAGAGCAAAATAACCTCCTTATAGGACTACTCTGATTCCATTAAGTGAATATATATATGTACCCATCAAGTGTTTACCTGTATCTCCTTCCCTTCTTTGCAATGAGAGTGGCTCACTTTATTGCTGAGTCATTGCATCTTTTGTGTGTTTCTGTGGGTGTGGTGCTGGGGATTAGACCCAGGGCGCCATGCGTGTTGGGCAAGTGCTCTACTACTGGGCTATACCCCCAGCCCCTGTCATTGCATCTCGATCATTGTCACACAGTCTCCCATGGTGAAGCAAGGAATGGAAAACATTGCCTTCACACAAAGGAGCTCATTGATAACACACCTTGGTGCTACACCCATTGCATGAGCTAATGTGCATGACTCCAAAGAAGAGCTAGGGCTGGGATTTTAGGGACTGTGGCTAATACATCAGGAGAATGTGGGAAAGATAGAAGGAGATAATGTCTGAATATCCAATTTTCTCAAGTTCTGAAATTAATGTATAAATTTCCCTTGGATTTTTGTTTTGCATTTGTAAATGGTTTTATTTCAGATGGTTATACTTTATTTTTGTTCGCTACCTCTCCAACATAACAGATATACATAACATATTTTTTTTGAGCCCAGGAAAAATATGTATCCCAAGTTACCATGTGGAGATGAGAAGCTGCTCCACATGAAAGAACCCCGCTCATACCCTACCCCCATAAATCCCAGCTCACATAGCTCTTCAAAGCCCTCCAGGGACAGCGGAGAGGCATAATGTGGAGCAACTGTTTGAAGGGTGGAATAAAAGCACATCCTGATGTCTTGGAGCTAAGAGAAGGAAAAGGATATTTACATAAGATGAGATGCCAATAAATTGGAAAGTTCAATGTGCTTAGAAATAGACAGTGGCTGGGACAATGATAGAGGAATCAAATTGCTGCAGCAGATTGCATCTTTCATGTTTAATTTTCATTTAATTCCTAAAGAAGGCAGAGGCTCAAAGGAATGATTCACCCTCATCCTTACCCTTCAGAAAAACTTTTGCCGACCTCTCAAATGCCAAAACCTGGAAATACCCTTCTTTGTTAGACCCCCGAATTGATCATTTTTCATAAAGTACTTATTGATTAGAAGCAATGTTCATCTGAGTCTCAGCCATGAAATGGTGTTTCAACCAAGTGAAGATGGACATTTCCAGCCTGTTCCTGTGAACTGACCCATCTGTCATCATCTTTGTGCCCAGAGGGAACAGTAAGCCTTCTTGCCTCCTCCTCCATCTCTTACTTGCTCTATGTTGCAAAAATACAGTTAACACATTAATGTATTTTATCTGTTTTAAGCAGAAACATTTTTGTGAGCTCAGTTAAAAAAAATAAAAGTTAAGTGATAGAACTAAAGTTCTGAATAACAAGAATAGTTTAGTCGGGTTCAACATGAGGTTACAACAAAATAGAAGTGACAGAGAAATTGAAATCAGATATGTTTAAATGACTTTAAACTGTTGTTTTTATTAAATATAGGTAAGAATGTGCAGGAAACAAAGACATTTGGAAACAAAGACAGCAGGTTTTCAATGATCATGGACTTGACATCTCATAAGAAATCCTTAACCCTTATTGTAGGGGTTTCCCAAAAGTCTCAGCATACATATAAAACATTCACTGTTTTGCCTTGATTATGAATGGAAGCTGATTTATTATGCTCATTTTAGTTCATAATAAACTGGAAAACCTAGAGAATTTAGAATTTTGAATTTTCTTGGGAACATAAAATTGATAACATCCAACCAGTATTTCCTTACCTATGATGTCCCTTGGGGGAAGGAAGACAGTTAAAATGTGTGTGTAAATTATTATTATTTTTTATATGTGTAAAATTTGAGGCCTTAAGGAAGACTGAAGCCTGTTTTGTTTTGCTTCCTCCCAATAGAATATTATACATTAATACCAAGGGTGATGATTGATTTTTTAAAATTCTAAATATTAATATTTTTTAGAGTGTAGGTTAATTTATTCAACAAGATTATGGAGCACCCACTATGTTCAAGAGAATGTGCTTAAAAATTAAGAACCTAGGCCAGGCACAGTGGTACAGTTCTATAATCCCAATGGCATGGGAGGTGGAAGCAGGAGGATCACAAGTTCAAAGCCAGCCTCAGCAACTTAGTGAGACCCTATCTCAAAATAAAAAGTAAAAAGGGGTGGTGAGGTGACTTAGTGATAAAGAACCCTGGGTTTAAAAAAAAAAGTATCAAGAAAGAAAAAATTCAAAAGACTTCAAAAATTAAGATCCTATTACTTAATCCCTTGTTTTTTTAATTTTACAATTAAATAATAGTTTTTGGTTTCTCCATGATAAAAACATACGTTAGTTACAATCAAAACATAATAAGAAAATAATAATTTCTAGCCACTACCTAACAAGTTAACTTGCTTTGTTCTTTCAACTTTTCATCTGGTATTAACTGTCATTACCTAGAAGATTATATTATATTGTATTTTTAATTCACTCCCCAAATTAAAGCATTTTTAGATGAAATTGGAGCCAAGTCCCATTGGTATTTGAAAGTGGCAATATCATGATTTCTCCATATTTTATATTCCAGTATTTTTTCTCTTTTCCCAACCTGTTCTGTAGACAGGTTTCTAATTCTGTGCCATATCTTTGAGTGTGATTCTACAGAAATTTCATATAAATGAGAAATATTCATTATACATCAGAAACAAACAACCCTCTAATTTGATAACAAATAAATTTTGTTTAAATGCAAAGTGTACTTTCACTTCCAAAAATCTGACCTTTATTCCCCACAAAACTCCTATGGAGAAATCCCATTCATGAATTTTATCTATACCAGAGCAAAAATATCTAATCGCCTCTTCTATGAAATCTGTATTTATCAATTATGACTTTCTCGGGGAAATTCTAATTTGCAAAAATGCTCTACATTCCAAGCTTTAACAGTTGGAGGTGGATGTCCTTAAGGATGGAGGGGAAAAAAGTTCTTTTTTAAATGGCACATTTACTAATTATAAAATGCTCTTATCTCTCTGCAGCCAAAGCCAAAATGAACATGTGCCTTGTACTAAGAAATCCCAGGATTGTCACAACTTGTGCCAGCTGTTGAGGTTATGACACCTGTGCCAGCATCGCCAGCTCTGCCCACTGTCATCTGTTCCAACTGTTCCATCTGCACTGTTTGTACCAATTCTCCCATTTCTGCATCTGTACCTTCTGCAGAAACGTTTCCAACAATGCCAGCTGTGTCATTGGTGCCAAATATGCCAGATGTTCTATTTGTCCACCCTGGGCCAAATCAATGCAGTTTTGTGCTCATTAGTTTTAGCTGGTAGATTCTATTTTACAATTTTTTGAGATGTATTTAGATTGAATCCAGGCAAAAATCCCTCATACAACAATATTACATCTATCTATCCATCTTTTTGCATCTCTAATTTTTTTTCTGCCAACGTGAAGTTGGTCAGTGTTATTTTGATCATGTTAATCCTGGTGGTGATAACCTGTTTGATGTTAATTGTGGTAGAGGATTTCCTATAATGTAAACTATATGTTGCAAAAGCCATGGAACATAGCAAGAATTTGCAAAGTAATTAGGAAAAAATGAAACTTTGTTCTGATAAACAGAGAATGCTCAGAAATCAATATGGTGAGCCGATTAAAGTAATCTGTGGCATAATGTCCTATTAAACTGCCTGTTTATTGGTCTTTTAATGGACAGAGTTATACATGCAAATTAATGTTGATGTCACATACTACTATTTCCTGGGTTCTGGTCTAGAAAGTATTAACCAAAGGTACATATGGGTAGTAGGGTGAGCTCTATTGCATTTGCTGCTTCTTGGTAAAACTAAGCAAGCTCAGGATCTAGTTCTCTAGCTAAAATCTAGCTCTCTCTCCTCTCCCAAATGTCAATTCTGCTGGTGCCAACACAAACCATTCTTATTTACATGCTCTTCCAGCTTTAAAATTGAAAAAAGAAAAAAAAAGTATTTTCATCCTCACAATCTCAATATTCTCCATCACCATGAATCAAACAATTATGCTTTTCTCTTTTGTTTTTTCTCATTCAGGAAAGTCTTTTTAAGGAGCTCTGACACTTAATCTCTGAGTTTTACCCAAATTCTGTATTCTGAAATCATTTCAGACTTGGAAGATGAGCACAGTGCCTGTCATTTGAAAATCAGTGATTTACCAGGAATGCAAAATCCAGAGGACATGGAAGCTACCTCTTATTTATTTGCCCTGAATCATTTAACTTGTTCTTTCCAATGTTGAAAGTTGTATCCACTCACTAAGGCTTGAAAATGTTCATGGATAAAATTCTTGACAGTGGATTAAATGTTAGCTCACGGTCATGTCCAAAAAGATTTGCCATCAGCCTATACATGTGATGAGATACAGTGAGAAAATTTCTCGACAATTCCATCAGGTTTTCAAAACCTATACAAAAAACACTAAGTGTCTATAATGAATGAATCACCAAAGTATCTTGACTAATGAGCTTATCTAAGGATAAAACTCCTGATGGTATCTTATGTTTCTGGGAAAGGATATACCGATATCTTATCAAGGGTCTGTGTGCTGAGCTGCAGACCCCAGGGCAATGGTCCCAGAGCATATCAGTATTCCGTATGGGGAGAACTCCTCCATTCCACATACTCTTCCTTTATAGGGTTAGTGATTATTTCTCATTAAACCAAGTCCTTCACTTTTCCACCAGAGTCTTATCTATTTCTGATCCTTTCACTCTGAACCTTTTCCAAACCTAGATTGAATAAATATCGATTCATTAAAATGGTAGCTGTCTATCAAAATATGCCTAGCTTATCGAAAGGGATGCAGTCTGAGTCTGTTGACCTTACTTCTAGAAATGCTTCAAACTTTTTTATTCTAATTCCCTATGTTGCAAAATGCCAGGAAGGAACATCCTTAATTAGGATTAAAATAGCTTTGTGACTAGTTGGGAGTGTACCCTGTACCTTCTCGGTACATTTTAATTAATATAACTTCTGCTCCCTGCTGACAAAGATGTTTCCGGTGGTGTTTTGGCCCAACATCATTACCGCCTTCATTGATGTGAGTCACTTGAATACTTGGAGGGATCCACAAACTTTACAGTTTCATGTAAAATAGAGAATTGAGTGTTAGAATTGCCAGGTGGGCATACATAGCTGAGAATATTTAACCCTACCTATTTGACTTTTTTATGTAATTTCTTAATATAATGACCATGGGAATCCTCATATTTGCAGTCAGAGAATAGAAAAACACACATTTCAAGGTTTCGATGGCAGAGAAAAAGACCTGAGTGTTTTAGAAATCTGCTATTGTACATTTGGATTATCCTTTAAATAGTTGTTTTTCTGGGATAAGTCACTGTCCGTTGTTTCCCTAACTCTTTAGAATAAACAGAAAACCTCAGTCCTCTGAAGTTTCTTGAGTATTTGTCACCCTACTTTCCCAATTTCATTGTCCGTGCTTTCAAATTTGGAAGAAGAATGGAAACTCTGGATCTTTCTAGTTGCATCTTTATTCATGTGTTTATGTATGCTATGACTATCATTCTTTAAATCACAAGAATCATAGTAGCAGTTATACGATCAATATTCATTAAAATAGTATAAAAGAAGGCAGCAACTTACACTGAGGTGTCATGACTCAACGGGTACTTCAGTTCCTGTAGTCATTTTCATCCTTTTCTCTCTCATTTTGACACTGTGTTATTTTCAGGAAAATGACATTACTTGACTCACTAATGTTCCAAGACTTGAATTTGGCTCCTTTTAGGAGCCCTCAACTCCAGTGTTGATATATGTAGACAAGCCATCTACATCTAAAAGAGAAGTTTGTCAAAATGTAGAAGAGCTTGAAGGAATGGGGACAGAGATTGATAGAATACAAAGTAGAGCAAGGATAGAAAAAGAGTGAGTCGCTACACGAAATCAATAAGAACTGAATTGTCACTGGGCAGGGTGGCACATGCCTGTAATCCCAGTGGCTCCAGAGGCTGAGGCAGGAGGATCTCGAGTTCAAAGCCAGCCTCAGCAATTTAGCGAGGCACTTAGCAACTCAGTGAGACCCCGTCTGTAAATAAAAAATATCAAAAAAAAAAAAAAGGGCAGGGGATATGGCTCAGTGGTTAAGTGCCCCTGAGTTCAATCCCTGGTATCCCAAAAAAGAAGAAAAAAAAAAAAGAAATGGATTCTCAGTTAAATGAAACAGGAAATCAGAGAGCATTAGGAATTAATGACTCACAAAGTTACAGAACCATCAAGTAGAAAGCACTCGTGAAGATTCACTAATCCAACCAGAAAATTGAGAAGAAAATTGAGGTCCAATGTTATAGCTACACTCACACAGTTGATTAAAGGCAAAATCAAGTCTAGAACCAGTCTCTCTGTGTCTCAGTTTCCTCACCAAAAAATGGGAATGATAATAATACAGTATTAGAGAAAATCAAATGAGTGAATGGGTCTAACAGATAGCTTCTGTTAGATCCTGACCGTCATAGTTTTATCGACCACTATTGTCATTGTCATCATTATTAGGATACCTGAATCTCATGATTTTAACTTCTCCAAGATCAGACTAAACTAATCCTGCAGACCTCGGGATCAAATTTGTACTTTTACTCTGGACTTTGGGATGATCTTTTTTCCATGTTTTATTTTGATCATCAAATTTACATTATGAAAAAAATAGTTGGAATTTGAGTCTGGAATTAAGCAGTGGTCCAATGACTGTATCTTCTGGCTATTCTCTGGCACACAATCCAGACGGTCAGTAAATGCAGGGAACTCCAAGACGCCCAAGTTCACAAGAAGGCAGCAAAGACATGATTAATCTCTACTGATAAATGACAAAAAAAGCAGTAGTATTTGGCTTTAAAAAGAAAGCACATTGTCTGTCAAGAGCAGCCTCACACATTCTTACACAGATACTGTCCAGATATTTCTTTGTACCAGTCACAGGCATGTGGGTTCTTGCTGAGTAACAGAAAAAAAATGAGACCACAGGAACCCGTGAACGAGTTATCCATGTTGGGAAATTAGGAGAATCCAGAAAGGAAATTGTAGTAGTTACTTCATAAAACTTATATTTCACATTTGTAAACACTTTTTCATAGTTGGTGTTGGAGATGGTGTTGGTGAGGGCTTCAAGCATGCTTAGCACCTGCTCTACATTTGAGCAACACCCTCAGATCCTGCAAAACGGTTTATGCTTCTCTGTATTTTACTAACATCTCTGATTCTAGGCCTCAGTAATTGGTAGCTCATTAAGATCAACTCAGTGTGGTGCTTTTAAAAAATAGAATGTCCAGGGCTGGGGTGTGGCTCAGTGACAGAGCATGCTTAGCCTATGTGTCTCTTGATTAGATCCCAGCACACGCGCACACACACACACACACACACAAAGTATACAAAACTAATTAAATGAGAATCTCTCAGGGATCAATAGCAGGTAACTATGTTATTTTGGTTTTTGTTTTGTAGATTTTTGTTTGTGGTACTGGGGATCAAACCCAAGACCTTGCACACACTAAGCACACCCTCTGTCACTGAGCCACACCAACTGCCCCAAGTATCTATGTATACCAGGAATGATTTAAAAACTACCTTTTCTCATCATTGAAACAGCCTCCTAGCTGGGGGTGCAGCTCTGTGGTAGAGCACTTGTGTAGCATGTGTGAGGCTGTGGGTTCCACCCCAACAAAAAAAAAAAAAAAAAGGAAAGAAACCAGCAGATCTCTAACAGAACTTCACTACATTTAAATTAGTCACATAGACCTTAAAATTTTTGAGCTTTAAATAGGAGATGATACTTCATTTTAAAAGTTTACATTAAACTGGGTTAGCTTTCCCTGTCAAGGCTTCTGTTTCCACAGTATTTCCTTGCCTCATCTCAATCCATTCAAGTTGGACTGAATCACAAAAGCCAGAGATAGAATATGAACTCCCGAGATTGCTCCATATTCTCCTGTAGGAGTCTGCCCCTTTGTTAACATTGTTACAACTCAAGATCCATCATAAAAAGTGTTAGGATGAGTGATGATGCAGACAGAACATGTTAGAGAGTGGGTCGCTGTGCTGGTATTTAGTGTAATCACAAATATACAGTGACATCTAAACCTAGTCATAGTATACTCAGTATGAATCCACAGCATATTGGACTAGATAGATTTTTTTCAAGCTAATATTTCAAGTCACATTGAAAGCAATTCACAGACATTACTTTTGTGCATGGAAGCAGAGTTACCCAACCTGTGGACCATGGCACATTTGTGTGGCCCAGATGGTTCCTGGGGGTGCCAAGAGAGTGACCCTTCATCCTCGGGGCAGCCAGAGATTCTGGGCTGGTCGCCTTCAGATATTAGCAGCCTCACCCCATTGACCATAAAAATATCACCATCTTCTATGTGTGCCATGTCATAAAGAATGCTGGAGAACACTGCAAAGCACAAGCCAAGCCCTGGAGCAGCACTCAATAGACTTCCAGAATTTCTGGACTCATAATAGTTAAAGAAGAAGAATCAATGTGTATTCTTAAACTTGTATTTTATTTTAATATATAACAATTATTACATATGACTATAATTTCAGAAATACGGGGGATTGTTGCACTATTTCTAAAATGCTTTATTTTAAAATAGTTCAAAACTGGTCAAGAAGAGGCACGCACCTGTAGTTCCAGCTACTTAGGAGGTTGAAGTCAGACGATCACTTGAGCCCAAGAGTTCAAGGCAGTTTGTGCAGCATAGCAAGATTCTGTCCCAAAGAAGAAGAAGAAAAAGTAGTTTATGTCAGGGAAGAGAGTACAACCCAAACATGTTATACCCATGAAATACTTATCAAGAAGAATTGAAGCTTTTCTTCTTGGTTTTATCCTGAAATTTTAAAATTTGTTTTGAAAAAAAAAAATCTTTATTTTAAGGAAAAATAAAGTTCACAAAAAATTTCACAATTTTTTTGAAAAATTTCTTACTAAAAAGTTTAATTAATATCATAATAAATATAAATATACCCTTCATCTATATTCACAGCGTGTTTCCATTTGGCCACATTGGCCTTATTTAACTTTTCTTTGGCAGACTTTTCGAAAGTTGCATCCTTCCAACTACTTCATCCCTAAAAATACTCTTTTGTGTACCCCTCAGGAGAAATAAAATATTCTTCAGAACAACCACATTATTGTTGTCCCATCTAAGAAAATTAGCTTGGGAATGGGACATAGAGTGGTAGAGCACTTGCCTAGCATCTGTGAAGCCCTGGGTTCCATTTCCAGCACTCTAAAACAAAAACAAACAAACAAAAACAGCA